GGAGGAAAGAAAACTCACATGAATGTTCCGCTCACATACGTCGTCGAGGGAGGCGGTTGCCTCATCTAAGCACACAATTCGTGGACGCGGTCGGCGGAACAGTGCGCGAGCCAGACAGAGGAGCTGCCTCTGGCCAGCGGATAGAGCTCGTCCGGCCTCGCCCACCTGCTGGTCCAGCAGGCGGCCCGCCTCCGCTGGGTTGGCAATCAGACCACATTTGATCAGTGCTCCAGTCAGCTCATCCTCCGAGAAGGTCCTAGGAACGATGACAATGAGATAGGGAGAAAGCAAAAGGGGAAACTGTGATCAGATTTACAGTATGCAGTTTGCTTCATGAAACTCTGACTCCAGGGAGGGATTTGAGGATTCACTCTTAACGGGCTCAGGAGTTCTCTCTAACGACTGACTACTAAGGCCTAATAAGCATGATCGCGGATTCGGCATCCCTTAAATTTCAGACTTCGAACTTCCATCATATGCCAGAAGGCAAGACTTACGTCTACCAAGCCGTTGGACAAAAGGGGCAGGCGTTCTATCATTCGCGGCTGTGACTCTAGGGAATCCAATATACCGACTACATAATTCGTGTTATCGAAATAAGTGACTGCGCTGTGTTGTTCAACATCGATAAATAAATAGGTTATTGAAGTGCGCCATGATTCGACGAGTAAGGTATTCAAAGGAAGGAGAAGTAGTGAGGCGCAATTTTGAGTAGTCGCGAATGTGATGTAGTTCGTCACGGCTTGGGGACCTAGACAGTATACATGGTATTTTCGCAGTGCACACTGACACAAGTCAGGGGTTTAGTTAAACAACTAAAAACAGTGAGAGATTTCTCCAAAAAATTTATAACAGACGAATCATTGCATTCTTATAACATCACAACAATGGCAATAATTACTTGTGAGTTTTAAATTCAAGAAGAAGGACTCAACTAACCCACTAGGATCCAAATTTTCCCGGATCGTAGACGAGAAAAGAAAGGGTTCCTGTGCGATGCAGAGTAGGCGATTACGCAGAACACGCAACGGAACCCCACGAATATCTGTTCCGTCTATTCTAACCTACACGACAAATTAGTAAGCAGCAAATAACATAAGACGCACAGACGTAGGCGGTACTTTAAGGAGGGGTGGGCTAACTAGTAAAAAAAAGGAACGCCCGAAAAGGGATAAAACAAAATTTAAACCTCATAGGAATGCGCAAGTTATCATTCGGCCCAAATAATGACACGGAGAAAAATTCCCGTTTTATCGACTTCTGGCCGACAAGCCATCAAAGTTAGCAACCGCACTTGGTAAAGAAATGAGACAGTAATACAAGTAGTGATGGCGACAGCAACAGCAGTGGTAGAAGTAGTAATAGTAGTATTGGTGGTAGTAGCAGTATAGTATTGGTGGTAGTAGCAGTAGTTATAGTGGTGGCAGTAGTAGTATTGGTGGTGGTCGTAGTGGTAGTAGTAGTAGTAGTAGTAGTAGTAGTAGTAGTAGTAGTAGTAGTAGTAGTAATAGTAGTGCTAGAAGTAGTATTGGTGGTAGCAGCAGTAGGAACAGTGGTGTTGGAAGTAGTAGTAGTAATGTTGGCGGTGGTAATAGCAATAAGAGTGGTAGTAGAGGCAGTAATAGCAGTTTTGGTAGTAGTGGTGGTAGTAGCAGCAGTAGTGGCAGTAGTAGTAGTAGTAGTAGTAGTAGTAGTAGTAGTAGTAGTAGTAGTAGTAGTAGTAGTAGTAGCAGCAGCAGCAGCAGCAGCAGCAGCAATCGTGGTATGACGGGAGAGGCAACAGTCGTGCATCAACCGGCGACGACTGACAACTACAACGCACTCTGGGTCAATAACAATGGCGCTCGCCTGCCAACAATGAGTCACTTCGTGTACCTCGAAAATGTAATTTTAGAAAATATCAAATTGACGATCGGATCTCTAAAGCCAGCTAGGCTACAACGCTCCGTCTCGAACCGTCGCGGCATCCTATTAGCCTGACGTTTAGAATTCCTGCTCGAACCCATCATCAGAGACAAAATCAGATACAATTGGTTCATGCACAAGGGGTCGCGGTACTTATAGGATTCAGTCGCC